TAGTCTCGAGCTTACGCTTGAAACGTTATATGTTGTATATTGAGTTTGGTGGAAACTATATGGCTGTGTTCCTACTTTTTGTTGGTCACTGGCTTCGGGGGAAACTCGAATTATCTGACCAAATTTCAGTGTTGTGAATTCTTCATTATTGCGTTACAATAGTTATGTTGGAATCCTGTATTTGTTGTATTTGGAAGGAGAGCGGTTCACTCTTTCCTGTCAGTCTGCCCTGTCTGAATCTAGAATTTTAGTGTATCAAATTTGCTTGGCTGGTAATGTAAATTTGTTATCCTACGCATGTTTTGTCTGCATCCTCGTTTTTATTGGGATTAGAAATCTGTCTTTTGGGATGACCAGGAAATAAACTGATTCAGTGATTAATTTTAGAAGACAACTAGCCTAGAAGTTTTTAATTTAGCGTGAAGATGCATCCAATAAAACATTTTTTTGTTTGGTCATTCCAAGAACTCTGAAAGGTTCTATTTGTGTTTGATAGGGGGTTGTTAATGCAATGAAGGCGGCTTTGTTATGCAATCAAATACTTATCCTACCTTCTACATATGTCACCTGTACTAGCAGGACTATTCAATATCTTTGTGTTGGTTGCTTTACAGCTTGTAGCAGCACGTTCTTCATCCAGCACTGGTAAGGGGAAAAATCATGAAGGCTCAATAAAGTATGGTTTCAGCCTTGTAAAAGGGAAAGCTAATCACCCAATGGAGGATTATCATGTTGCCAAGTTTGCTCAGATAAAAGACAATGAATTGGGTTTATTTGCTATCTATGATGGCCATTTGGGTGACCGTGTGCCTGCCTACTTACAGAAACATTTGTTTACCAACATTCTGCGGGAGGTTGGTTGAAACTCTTTCGTGTTCTGAAAAATAATGAATATATTTTCAGTATTTGAGATCAAAATTCAGGGTGGAATTGTTACGTTGTTCTAATTCATCTAATACCCCAGGAGGAATTTTGGGAAGACCCCACTCTTTCCATCTCAAAAGCTTACGAGATCACAGATCAGGAAATTCTATCAAACAGTTCTGACCTTGGGCGTGGTGGATCAACAGCCGTAACTGCTATATTGATCAATGGGCGAAGGTTATGGATAGCTAATGTTGGAGACTCACGAGCTGTTCTTTCTAGAAAAGGTCAAGCTTTACAAATGACTATAGACCACGAGCCAAACATGGAACGAGGCAGCATTGAGAATAGAGGTGGCTTTGTCTCTAATTTGCCAGGTACTTTAAAGCTTCCATTCCAATATTTCAATTTTTGGAGTCTATGTGCCTTTGCATTCTTGTATGGATCTTCACTTTTTGTTTAATTTGTAGCTCCCATTTGATGGTAGAAAGAGTGTCTTCTCACTATTATTATTATACTCTAGAGAAGGGGCTTGAATTTGTCTTTTGATGTCAAATAAGACAAAGCAAATTAACGATGAATTCAAGCAATTAGATTAATTAACCTTGCAGAACAATATTCTCCTTAGTTTGTGATTCTCTTTCTGAATTCTAGTCATTTAATATGCTATAGAATGAATTTGAAAGTATATGAGTTCAAGTACTTTTATAAATCACAACTAAATTCGAGTGCATATTTTTTTATGGTCTTCTGTAGATTGCATACTGCTTTGTGACTGCTGTTTTACTTGGAAAAGAATTTTGCGTGGTAGGAGCTTTCTATTTTAACATGAAAGTTTGTTGTACCCTTATTTGATCTAATTTTTCCTTTTACGGGGCTGTGGGGAGGTTATGGAAGTAATTCCTGAAGTATCCAAATAGAAAAGTAATTTCTTACAAATTTGTAAGCATTCCATAAAAGGTTTCTGAGAAATTTTCTTTTTCTTTATTTTCCTGTAACCATATGTCCAAAAGTCAAGAGATTTTTACTGATGGAAATTAACTGTATTCAAGTGCTAATATCAAAGAACTGCAACAACACCAATGAACTTAATATTTTTTTTGTCTTGACTGTGAAATCACCACTAAAATAGTGGTTACTGAATGCTTGTGGTTTTAGTGAGACTACACTTTTGACAGCACAAAGTCACCATAACATAGATACTCAATGTAACATTAATGATGATGATGCAAGGTGATGTGCCTAGAGTAAATGGACAACTTGCTGTTTCTCGAGCATTTGGTGACAAGAGTCTCAAGTCACATTTGCGATCAGACCCTGACGTGCAGAACACTGACATAGATGTTGATACTGAGATTCTAATAATTGCAAGTGATGGACTTTGGAAGGTGAAACAATAGTGTATTGTTGTTTTCATGGTTCTAGCTTTTAGAAGTTCAATATAAAATCGAAACAAGACTTTATTCGCATGTGATAAACCAGGTAATGACTAATCAAGACGCTGTGGATATTGCTAGAAGATCGAAAGACCCACAGAAGGCAGCTAAGCAACTTACTGCTGAAGCATTAAAAAGAGATAGTAAAGATGATATATCTTGTGTTGTGGTTAAATTCAGGTGATGGTATCTTTCAAACCAAGTGTCCTATTGGGGTGCAGTTTATAGCAAGCAATAAAGGTACATTCTATGAAATGGTCCAGACCAAACAACATATATTACATGATGTTTGGGTTAGTCCTTAACTTTTCTGAATAGGTAATTTTCCATGGAAAATAGAAGGGTTTATCAAGCTCTAAAATTGCTTTCTTTTATCAGATTTTGTGGTTTGAGAATGTTTTTCATTTGTTTCTGCAAAAGTGTGATTGCTCAGAGTCTGCTGTATATTGTCTTTTGATTCTTCATAAAAGACCTAGCGGCTGTGTAAAAGACGAATATGCTTTTAGTTATCGATTGGGGTATAGTGAGTGCTAGGATGATTGGTCCTATTCACGGTTGTATTCCACATTCTTTGATAGACATCAACCCTTTTTCCTTTGTTCCATTTTTTTTTTCAAATGATAGGTTCCCAAAGACTGTCATTCAATGAACAAAAACATCTTTGATTCTTAGTGCATGTGAAAACTAAAATATGAGGACATTCCATTGCCACAAAAAAATAATGAACACCAAAACTGAGATTAATTATCATGGCGTTTGGTATTCATAATGTTTTTTATCTTTCCTGAAAATTATATTTCTTAAGTGTCATGTTCTTTTAAACCTTGTTTTCTATATTGTATGATTGCTTAAAAGATTTTTGAACATGTTAGTCAAATGTTTCACTGGTATGGCTAAAGCTGTACCTTATGTGCGAGATTGAACTCTCACCCTTTTCACGAAAGTGCTCAAATAGGGAAATGGTTTAAAGTTCACATGTTATCACTATTAATGTAAAGTTTTGTATATTTTAACAACTTTTTTATAAAGTGTCACTGTTTTATTGGCTGGTATATTTGAAACAGATCAATCACAAATTACTACGTATTTTGATGTAAAAAAGTTGTAAAAAAAAGTTGTTAAAGAGGCTTTTTTTTCTTTTGTATACTATCAACTAACGAGAAATCCTTTTCATTTTTTTAATAAATTATTATAAAATCAATAAACTTACACTGATAAAATTGAAAGCAAATATAATAAATAAACCTTTATATTCATATCCTACTCTTCAATGTAACATTTTTATATTTATTACTTAAACAAAAGTCTCTGACAAACCTTCCCTTTAGTTTACAAATTAAAGGCTTTGAAAAACATCAACATAACATAAAATATGTTGTTCGTGGTTTTATTTGAAATGTCATGGGGGTTTTGAAACTTCGGCAAATATCTGAAATAAATTTCACCATTAATATTAAGATACATCCTAATTATATTCAACCGTTCAAAATTAATTTTATCAATTTAAATGGAATACTTAATCTATGCATTGTTTTGATGATGTAAACGTAATTTATCCTATCATTAATATACAAACTGGCTAATAATTTATTAACCATTTTTTTAATCAATTGTTAAAGACAAATTTGACTTTTCTTTATATAAATTTTTCATTTGAGTGAATTTTGGAATGATAATCCACTTTATTTTTATTACTTACCTTTTTTTGATGTATTTTTAGGGAAGTGCTGCAGTATATTCGATTTTAACATGTTGAGATTGCTCTCTATAATGATTTGGCATGCCGAATGAGGAATAAATTTATCACGTGTGATAAATTTATTAATTTGTATAACAATCATCTTAGAAGTAAAACAATTAATAATTTGTACGGTTGATATTTTAAAATATATATATATATATATATATATATATATATATATATTTATATTCTGAAGCAAACGAACCTACAATCATAATTGGCAATACTAAACTTATAGCATCGCATGAAGGTTTACTGTTATTAATCCTAGCACTGGAACTAACCTGAAAAAGGCGGTTCATTAATTTTGAGTGTTTTGTTAACTTTTCTTTCTTAATATAAACTTCACTTGAAGGCGGGCGACATATACAATGAAGAACAAACTCTTACAAAATCTAATTAATGAAAATCATCTTAAAACGCTAAAATTTTATTTCATCACGAATGCAAATGAATCTGTCTTGATTTTTTTTGAAATCCTTAAGAAAATGAAGGGATAAAAAAGATCTTATTGTTCTCACTTGATAGTAACATTCTTCTACTGATAACTTCCTAGAAATTTTTTATGTTTCATGTTTTCTGATTTCACTAAAATTAATAAAAAATAACTTTTTAGATGTTCTAATAAATAGAATAAATTCTTGTTTTTCGTCGATCTTAGCCCAGAATCCTTTTTTTTACTCTGTAAACTCTGTAATTCCACCATGGAGATCAATCAACATGCTATGATACAATGATATAAATTTGCAGGAAACTTTGCTTTCACTCACATTTTCTGTTTGCGGATTATAAACGATGACACTAAATGCAATACGTAGTTTAATCACATCAGATTGCAAATGCAAATGTTTATAAAGTGCGCTGACTCGTTCAGTCTCTTTCGTAAATATCAATAGTTTCTCCTGGGGAAAGGAATCAAAGAGACTGCTGAAGAATCTGATATAAATTACTTCTATATATGACAATTTAATCAGCTTACCACCAATCTTATTATTTTTGAACTACAAATAACACGCACCGAGTACATCAACAATGCATCAAAATAAGTATTATGCGGGATTTACAATAATTTCATTCCCAACAAAAATAAATTTATGAACTGATGATCAAAAGATTTGACCTTCAAGAAAACCTACAAGTCAAAGAATTGCAGATTTCAGCTCGAGTTGCTACATTTAAACTATACACATGTAAGTCTCAATCTTCAAGAATGCTGAATGAAGTATTTCTTGATCATATTGGACATTTAAGGGTCGATTACATTATTCAGTAACATAATTGACCTCACTAAGCACAAGATCCAAGGGTGAGAAGAGAAGATCATGAAAGAAAAGTACATGGCAGAACTTGCAGCCAAGACTTTCATAGGGTATATTCAAATCTCCAATATTTCAAGGACATCCGCTAGGTAAAATCAACTCATTGGTGCATCCCGCGGCTGCTACTTTCCTCTCCGATTGAAACGGTGGCTAGGGACTTGGATGCCCATGCTCTAGCATTCATTGCTCCTTCCTGCAGATTACTTCTCTTGCACGGCTCTTTCAAGCAGTTAAAAGACTGTATTAGCCGCTTCAAATAAATCAAAGGATGCTCCAGTAAGCTCCCTAATATAATATTTTGGATGACCCTTCTCCAAGCAAATTGAATACATATAAGCAGCGTAGGAAAAAAGTAGTATAGTAATCTCAAAACCACAAACGTAGTGGCCAGAGCCAAATACGTTTCCTGCCGCAGTAAATTTTCTGGAGATCTAGCCCATGAAAATGGACAACTTTCTGGCTCGGTGTTACCATGACTTTTATCAGTGGAAGAACGACCAATTTTCTCAAGTGATAGTTGATCGAGTGAATCAATCCTAATCCCTACAATGACAGCCAAAGAATGAACTAAATACAACAAAATAAGGAAAATAAAATGTGATACTGCAAAAAAAAAATGGAAAAGGATGTGCTACAGCATAACAGAACTACAAAATCTTGTTTTTATCAAACCACTTAAAAGAGGTAACGTACTTGGGACAGCAAAAATGATTTACCACAATGCCTCTCCTGGATATTAAAAAAGAACTTCCAAAATGCTAGGAATTTTCATTGGGGTTTTTAACCAAAAATAAAGAATCTAAATTTCCTACCCCAAAGAGCAAAGTTTTAAAATCAACAACCTCTTCAACCCTCTCTTAGGTCACGTTAAGGATGGTTTTTAATTGAAAGTTTCAAAAATTTATAAACTACAATCAATCTTTAGTTTTTAGAAAGTAGGTCTTAGATTAGGATATTTAGTTTTAAAAGTTCGTTTTTCCTAAATTTTAGTTTAAAGTTATGTTGGTGGTAGTGCTGACAACAAGGGTGTTAGTGTCAGTAAATGTGGTGACGACTTGTTGGACAATGTTAATCTAAGTACAACGAACCGGATCATAGAGCATTTTGTATTACAGGAGTCATTCTACGAGGTCTAAATTTAATTTTTGGGGGTTCCACTATACCCCATCACTTTCAAGACCCTTTTGCAATTTTTACTCCAATGCAAGAATCTTAGACCCACACTCTCATTAACGTTTTATTTGGTTGTTGGCTAAAGTGTATATTTGAAAGATATAAAAAAAAATTATTCTCATGACCAAGGTCTTATTTAAGAACTTAGATTCTTTTATGCAATGTCAACATACTCCAATGGGGAGATCTTATAAGACATAGGTCTTAATCTTATAACCCAGTGTATGAGACCCCTGCAATGGAGATGCTCTAGCAAAGTCCAAAACTCAACAAAACATTTTTGACACATTATCATAGAAAAATGACATCTTCCTTGCTAAATACACGTAACACCTTATCCAACCTCTAGTGCCACAATCACCATGTAACCATGGCTTCTTCAATCTCGGAATCATCATGATTGAGAGCAGCAGCATTATGTGTTTTTTAGTGTTTGTATTTTCTAACTTATTCTTCTATGAGCAAGAAGATCCAAGTTTGAAACAGGGTACACCGTGGCCTATGGGATTGACCATATCCCCCCTGCAATTTAAAACTCCTGATTCTGGAGTACTCCATTCAGTATCTAAGCATGTGCGCTTTCACGCCTGCACTCCCAAGCTGCAATGCAACAGTTTCCCTTCAAGTGAAATACATAGTAATCACTTGATTGTAGTAAAAGATTAAATAAGGTATGGCCAAAGTCTCTCATCAATCAAATTTTACTGTGGTTTCTGGGCCTAGCCACATAGGTTAAAATTCCCTAGTATTTTGAAGTTCTCATAGATTCTTTTATGGCATGTTGACTTTTTATGCCACCACACCCTCGAGACACAAAGGCTTCCCCCTTTCACATGAAAGAAACGGTGATAAAATTTACAGATTCTTTTAATGCAGTACAATACAATAAGCCACAGCCAAAGTATGCCAATGATTGAATATTAAAATTCAATCTTAAAACCAAAACCAAACTGTCTACATGATTCAACAAATTGAATACAACCTATCTCCCTTTGTGTCAAATAAATCTCTCGAATCTTTCATGGGATCATGTTCGGAAATCAGATGTTATCGTAATCATGCTTGTGCTTTGATGTAGATTTTGGAACCTTTATATACGGATTAATCACTATGATCAAATTTAATTAAAACCCCATTGTGAATTGAATGAGTTAACATGTGCGAATCTCAATTAAAAGTTGAATGTACACTAGAAGATGAGTTAACATGTGCGAATCTCAATTAAAAGTTGAATGTACACTAGAAGACAGCACACAAATCCCAATGCATGGATAAGATAAGGAGTGGTAAAAAAATAGTGTGCCTCACCGGTAACATCATTGTAGAAACCAATGAGCGAAGCAAGTGTCCGAGAACCATGGTACCGAACCCGCATGGTAGAATTCAAAATGAACAGTGTAGGGAAACCATGGACACCATATTTGGACAGTATGCTGCAAGAATCGCATAGGCACTCAATTGAAAGAATACACAAACAAAAGAAAGAAACGAAGGCAAAAACGCAATAAACAAACCTCGGCCTAACCGAGGATTCTTCAATAGAAAAATGAGGAATGGAAGGGTGCAGTGCAGAGAGTACGGAGAAAACCGGTCTAAACACGCGCGAGAAAGGGCACCACGACGCATAGAAGAGCACAGCCACATACTCGTGATTATTCTTGTGAACCATATTCAGCGCCTTCTGCAAAGAAACCTCATCTCCCTGCTCATAAGCAATGCAAAGCTTCAATAACTAAATACAAATACTGTAATCGAAAAATTACAATAATACATTAGAAGAGAAAGAAAGAAAAAGAGGAAGAATTACCTCGGTGACGGCAATGGATCCAAGAGAATCGGGAAGAGGGCATGTGGAATCTGGAAACCCTAAGACGAAATCGAGAAGGGAATGAACGGGACAGACTGTGGCGGTGGTGGTGGTATGAGAAAACCTATGATGATGCGGTTGAGCGGTGGAAGAGAGGGTCCCACAGAGCAACACGGCGAAGACGATCTCCGATCCCCAAACCCTCATCCTTATCCCTTTCCCTTTCCCCGTTTCCCCTTAAGGGAGTGAGCAGAGCTGAGCAGAACAGAGCAGAAGAACAAAATCCAAATGGAAACCCTAATTCCGAAGCATGGATTTGAGATGAGCGAGGTGAAGGGAGAGATGGGTGACGTGCCTCAACCTTAGTGGACGCTTTTTTCTTTATTTTAATTTTTCTATTTTGTTTTAATTAGGGAGAGAGAGGAGAGTGATCGGTGATGGTGGTGGCAATGGGAGGGAATGGCATTACCATTTACCTTTTGGCACACTCACAGCTGAATCAGAATCAGACGACTCAACCCTAACTCTTCTTCTTTCCTTCATCGCCTTTGCGTTCCACGCTCCTACCACTTCTCTTTCTTTCTTTTATTAGATAAAACACAATCCTAACAATATTCTAAATTAATTTTTCTTGTTAATTTTATATAAGCTAAACCATAATTTTAAATAAGTCAATTTTACTTTTTTTTTCTTAATAAATGTCAATTATGCAAGATTTCATTTTATCTTCTTAGATTAATACTAACAGTGTCTTGCAGCTCAGAAAATTTTATTCTCGTATATGAATATCTAGCACGTGGTGGGTTCAAAACAAGATAAGTTTTTATTTGTTGTGATTCACAAACACGAGAAGATGTATTACAGTCTACGCCTTATGGCATCAAATAATATATATAATTTTACTTCGTAAAATTAAATACGCAAAACTTAAACAAACCACCAATTATTATAAGCCCTATTTTAATAACTGCAAAAATAATATATTAAATTTAAATATAATATTTATTTGTTATTTTTAAATGGTTATTTATTTATTACATATTGTATCACATGAACATCTAGTTAATTATTGATTAATCACATAATTCATAAACACGTTCAAATACTAAACAGATCAATTGATTATATATCATGTCAAAGTTCACATCTCACATTCTAAAACACAAATTATCAAAATTGACTAGTCACCAAAAATGTCTGCTAATCATATATCAGCTTGGATAATTAATTACCAATTCAATGAGTAGGACAACGAACTCAATTGATCACCAAATAGATCGATCAATCATAAATTGAAATTATGGAGATCATTGTCTCATAATAAATTCACTTTTAAATGAATCAACTTAAGAGTAAAATATAGTTACTCACAATTGTATCATAATAAGTTATGTACATTTATTATTATAATCTATCAAACGTTAAGTTAATTTTAATATCGTAAATACTTTTGACCAGTTTAGACAAATCAGAACTTGCTTTTTGAACAACATTTGAACTTCGAAAGATACAACACATCTAAAATAATTTACCTCAATTTCATACAAGTTATTTGACACGTTCTGTGCCCCCTAACTATTAGAATCCTTTATTTTCTCCCTCTTACGCTAATTATATTTCATTCATGGTTTAAAATGGTAAACTGTAATAATTTTGAGTCTGCGACTTAAGCTATACAATTTTTTATGGGTTTGGTGCCATAACTTTTCAACCTTGCCATTTTAACATCTTAGATTTGACCTGAGGGTTTTGCTATATATTAAAAATAATTCAGCGCAACAATTGTTAAAAAAAATACTTTATTAAATAATTCAAGCAATAATTTAGCACTTATTTATCGTCATTCTCTTAATTTTTTTCAAGGGAATTTACCACACCTTAGGAAAGAATGTCATCATAGAGTAAACCAAAGTTAGACAACAATCGAAAATATATAATTGGTTTTTCGAAGTAGCGCATTAAGTATTTTGATTTAACCAATAAATTTTAAAAGTTTGGCGAGAGTAATAATAAGAAATTGATATTTACCGAAATCTTCAGATCTTTTGATTGGTTCTTTGCTACTAAAGTTCTTTGAGAATAAACTCACATTAAGTGCAATTGTTAAGGAAAATGTTAAAAACAATTTGTACAAACAAAAGGTTGGGAAAAAAGATATTGAACCATTAACAACGGTTGAATAAGTGAAGTTAGGACCCATTTTGGACAATTCCACCAAATGAGATAACCATAACACAAATATTAAACTCTTCCAACACTTCACCGTCTAGAAAACTATGACTTCAGAAGAAGAAAAATAATATCAAAACACATTTACAACCATAGCAAAATTTCAGCTTAACCAATGACAGGCTTTCTCCAAGTTGATGGGGGGAAACATGGATGAATGAAGCCAACAACTTGACGTGGATTGAGAAGATTTGGGAGTGAAGGTGGTTTTGAATTTCAAACAAAGCTTGTTATATTTGTATAATAGTAAAGGGATGGGATTTTGGGGTTGATTGGAGGGTAATAAAACGGGGGTATGATCCAACGGTAGAGACAAGGAGGGACAGGAAAAGTTGGGGAGAGAATCCATGAAAAGAGGGTTGGGGGGTGTAACAGGGTGTGTGGTGAAGGATCTTCAGAGGGCGAAGCCATGGGATCGCGTGGGGAAAGTTGGTGCTTGCCACCACGACGATGGCGACTCATAAAGTGGTAGGGGACCGTAAAGAGTGGTATGGGAATACGGGAGAGGACCATGGGTTTTGCGGAGGAAAACTTACTTGTGACAACGACTGTTGTGGTGGCCACTCTGTTGATGCTGATAGTGGCAGCGGTGACTGTAGGGTGGCGGTGGTTGTTGTCGAGAATAATATAAATGTTTGTTCGGATGACACTGGGGATCGTTTGGGGCGGTGGTGTGGCCACGACTGTGGCTGTTGTGACCATAAGTAATGGTTGTAGTAGACATCCATGGGAGGAGAAGTAGGCCACACGAAAGCACCATTTGATGGGAAGTGAAAGCTTACACTACTTCACTATATCTAAAATCTTAAACATCTACTTTTTTTCCTTGATAACGAGTGATGAAAGATTACAATTATAGAATGTCCTCGATATGAACAATTAAATGGTGATTCTACAAGTATGAGCATCTAACTTCACAGACTTAAAATAGATAACTACAGGTATTCTCTTCCTTTAGAATGTAAGTAGTAAAATATTATCATTATTCCAAGAGGTTGAGAAGAAATCTTAGAAAGTTCAATGAATGAAGAAAGCCAATAAAAATCTGAAAGATCTTTTTACCTTTTGTTAAGAGGTTTCTCTCTAACAAACTAAACTAGAAGTGGAAATAATATAGTTTTAAAAGGGAGCAAATGGCTTGAGAAAAAGCAATATCCATTTCATTTTAAGTATGTCTAACCACTGGAAAGTGTTGCCTCCCTGCCACGAATATGCAGCAGCAACAACTATAAAATCGCCATCCAATAATTTGCAATCCATAAAAACCTGCTAGAAAATCTTCCATCCTTCTGACTGAAGGATACTCACTCTGCTTACATGGTCACAGAGATATGAATCGAAACCTTCCACTGTACGCGACGCCCCCATTTGCATGAGTGCACTCTAGGATTGACATAATTGCTATAACGAACCACAGTTCTGTTCCAATACACTGAAACCTTGAAATGAACAAATTGATCTCACCCTCTCACCAAGTCAACCTTACACGATGATGCATTATAAAAGCACCATGTTACAAATTGACCAGATCTCTCCATTGAATGGAAAGCGTGTCAAAAACTTATTATCAAGAGGGACATTCACGACGTTGATTCTATGCTGGGCAATGTCTATGATGTTGAAGAACTTGATCATGGATGCATAATGAAATCTATAAATTGCTTAGGACCAGCACATTGCCATTGACAAGATTGTGCCCAAAAGCTGTGGTAAGCAGCGTTCGAGTTCCTCTTCTAATTCCAATCATGCAAGCAAACTCATCCAAAGATTTCCCATTTATTTCGGGTTTCGTTTACAATGATCCGCAATTACTTATGCTACCCATTATTCTGTTAGAGCGTTATTAAGCATACATCAGTATTGTTCTGTACATCTAGTGGATATAAACTGACCTGCACATCATGGACCACGCAACCAAAAAACAGTTTAGCAAGCCTCATTTTATATTGATGCTCGAATACAAGAACACCCCGCCGATCATTTAGAAAATCAAGGGAAAAAAGTCCTTCTGCTAAGTGCGGGGATGTACTGACCAGGGTGCAATAGCACGGAAATTCTAAAAAATCACGAGACGGAATGAGAGAAAAATAAACTAGGAAGTATCTATTGGACATAACAGGAGCAATAATGGTTATGCAAAAGAGCGATCCATGTATGAAAGACGAAAATCACCAGATAATTTTGGTATTCCTCTTTCAAAAAATTAAGGAGAAAACTAGTTCCTTCATTTGAAGGACCTACCTAAAATTCGATTTCAGTATACCAGTCTACCAGATGTTAAAAAAATGTTTTGAGCTAAAATCAACCTAAAGTAAATTTGTTCCTTGCAAAATAAAAATGGTTTCTGAGCTCTGGCAAGAAGCAAGCAAAGCATCACACCAGAGCTGCAAAATAACCTCTGGATTGGAGAAGCCACGGCACGACCAGATGAATCTATCCACAAATATAATGCTGCTTTCAAGCAATTACCTGTAATGTCCCAAAATAAAACCAAAATCAGAAACCCCGGAAAGACATCAGCTGCAGAGGTAAAGCATGCAACCAGAGAACAAGAAAAAGTATGCAGTATAGACAACAGACAATTCACTTTACGTTTCTTAAACACATCTCTTCAAATTGAGCTATTATATATACCAAAATAAATTACCACTTTTGCACAGCCGTTTTCAATGCTAGACCTTTTAACACGTTACTGCCATTAACATTGAAGCAAGGTGATGGTAAAGTCCAGTCTTTGGCTTCACTGTTTTTTCACTATTCTATTCTCACAATAAAAAAGATGCAAGAAACTGATCAAAGCTACAAAATTACACGTAGACCTAAAAGCTTAATTATAGTTGTTTATGACTGATATCCATTCTTGATATTGGCTAGAGCATTGCATTTCCATGTTCTTAATGCAGAGGCCCCTAAACCTCAAAACCACTGGTTAGTGGTTTAACCTGCTTCATAATCACACATTTTCTCTATACCCAATGACATCACCGGTGACATAAGGCAAAAGATGTTTAGGCAGCTCATAAGCACAGGGTATTAGCTCAGAGAACAAACTTCATCAATCGTTTCTCTTTAAATATACAAAATCCATCCACGTCTTATGTATTTATTCCCAATATTCCCGTGTTAGGACTAAAATAAAACAAATTCTGTGGTTTAATTTCATTATGAATTTCAAAATCACTTTGACCAGAGGCACAAATGGAGAAATAACCAGCAGAAAATAATTTATTATACTGTAAATATAATCATTACCTGTTCTAGCTTATCATCTTCAATGGGAAATCGAAAATATATACACTAGCAGAGCCTTGTGGTTACCAGCACACAGCAAA